CTCCTCTCCCGAGAGTTGCCCGGCCCCTTCGGCGAGGAGTTTGGAGCCGCCCCGCTGCGGAGTCCACGCCAGCAGAGCGTGAGCCACGCGAGTGCCAGAGCCCGGGTGCTGCGGCCATCTCTGCTTTACATCTGGGTTGGACCCCGGCATCGAGGTGGGACCCGCTTCTCTCTCCTCCATTCCCCAGCTGCCGCCTCTTCTGGCTCCGGGCAACTCCAGGAGCCGGGCGCTGGGGCGCGCGTGGCTGGCGCGGAGCCCGTGGGCCACTTGGGGACCCGGAGTTTGGGGCAGCCCGGGAGGCACCCCCTGAGAGGCCAGCGGCCAGAGGGCGGCTGGAGGGGCGCCGGGGAGCTCTCCGCTTCACCGGGGCTGGGAATCGGGAGGCCCGGGAAGCTCGGGGTATCGGGGCGCAGGACTAAGGGTAGCCAGCCGAGCTCGGGCGCATCTGCCTGGCGCCACCGAAAGGGCATGCCAACCAGCCAACTTCTTTTCCAGGTCTCCTTCCTGCACTTTGGAAACTGAAGGGACTGCGACGTAAACCGTAAGCCTTGGGCCCAAGAGGAAGGATTTATTGGTTTGGATGACAAAAGGAAAAAATTGTGTTATAGACCTGAGCCTCTGTTTCCCACCCTCCCCTGCTCTCCTCAAGCAAATTAAAATAACAAGACCCAATCCCAACCAACGCACTTATTTAAAGGGATTTGTAGAGGTGAGAAAAAGAGACCCAACCAGGGAATCTTCGGAAGCCTCAGGGATGATGAGGCCCTCTAAGAAATTGGTTATTGTGAGTGCTATTTCTAGTACTTGTGTCTGCAAACAGAGGATGACACAGGTTCTTGTAACCCCGAGGGAGTTCCTTATATTGAGGCGTTGGTTAGAGTGTCTTTTGTTAAAATTATTTTCATAAATCTTAAAGTATATTGAAACAAAGACTCTTTCAGAGCTTTGGACGTGGAGTCAGAATTTTGGTATGATTTGCCACTTATCTGTGACACTGGTTAGCTTAACTCCTCTGGGCCTCTTTCCTCATCTGTCAAATTAGAGGGTTGAATTGAGATTCCGAGGGCCTTTTAAAAATATCTAAGGTGTTTCCCAACTTAAAAATGTGTAATTCTTTAACTCTTTAGCATGTTAGATTCATAATTTCATGACATTCAACCATCACTAGATTCATCATTTCATGACATTGATCTTGGCATTTTGCTTATATGCATTTATGATTTATACCTTTATGGTTTTTCAAACAAAAATTAAAGAGAAAAACACTTGTAAGAGTTCAGAAATATATAGTTTATATGTAAATACTTAGATCATCTCTCACACTACCTTAAAGAATCACGTTCAAATTTAAGTCAGTAGAGCATTTGCAACACGGCAACAAAAACGCCTGGCATCACAGAGTACTTACTCTCTTTCAGTATTGTACATTTGCAATACATAAAACTTGTTTTGGAGGAAAACAAAAATTTCACCTTCCCTACCCCAATTACTGATCTTGAACAGTGTTTGCTACTTTTTAGCAAGAAGTTGTGTGCAGAATATTAAAAAAATGGTTTCAGACCACTTCAGAGCCTCTCTGAATTATGCTCAGGAGCAGAGATGCCAATTTTAGTAATGCATTTTGGTTCCCTTGGAATGAATCCCAGAAAATAGCAGAGGTTAACTAAACTGATAAACCAGAAATTAGGAATTGACACACACAAACAAAAAGTTATACAAGTGTGTACTATAAAGTGTCATTGAACCTTTCATTTCCTTTTGATTAAGAAAACAACAACTATTGGCTTAAGTAGACAGAGAATGTTAGAATGATTTTTGTTGTTACTTGTAATTCAAAATTATTGAAGACTTAGTCATCCGTCATTAGGATAAGTTTAGAAGGGGTCTGGCTTTTTTGGTGGTTTTGATCTAAAATAATGTGTTCCACCCGCATGTGTGTTGTATGCAGTGTGGGAGAGTGGAATGGATTTGAAGTACTCTTTCCTGAACACATTTGAACTTTGTTTCAGTGCCTTTTTGCTTTTGGGCTGGAAGTGTCATCAATCAATCATTCAGACATTTGTCTTCGCTCATATGCTCTGGTGAAGTAGATGATCATCTCCTTTGAAACAAATGCTCAAAGATTTCAGAAAACTGTTGAACGAACGCCGAGTAGTAGATCTTAAATACCCTGGCTTCTCGTTGCTTGTTGGAAAACAACTGGAAACAGTGGGTAGATCTGACTGCTTACGGTCCACAGCCAACTCATTCATGGCTTAAGAGCATCATTATGGGCTGGCAGGAGCTCTGTTCCTCTTTTGTAATGTGGGGATTTTACTCCCATTAATTTACCCAGAAAAAAAAAATCATATCTTCACACTTAGATCACTATTATATAACCAAATGGTTTGTGTTTGTGAAGTGCAATATCTCGAGGGGGTCTTGGAAAAAAACCTAAAATATCCAGAAACAAAATGAATTGTGTTGGCAGTTTCTGTACTGCGTGTTTTCCTGCTCAGAGCCAAGCACGCATATAGTTCTGTAGAGTTAAAAATGAAGACAATGGCTTACAGTCTGATTTAATTCTTAAGATTTTATGTGATGTACAAATTCTGATTTTAATTAAATCAGAAAGGCACAAATGTTCACCCTAATACATATAACTTTTTGGAGTTTAAATTTGGTCTGCTTATTAGTTAGAATATTCCTTCTCAAATACTTTTTAAAACTTTGTGAGAATAGTGATATTATCTGTTGTCTTTTCACACACATGATCTTATTAAGTAACTTTTTTTAACGCTTAGAACTATAGCATTTATAGGGAAAAGTCCCATAAAATAAATGCACTGGTTGACAAGTAATATAGTGAATAATCCTTATAAGGCAGATACCCTACTCTTCATCATGTAAGTAAAAGAACATTTTTAATTCTCTGAAACCTCTTTCTTGTCCTTTCCTGAGGAAGTTTTTTTGGTGGTGTTATTTTATATAAATATAGGAAGCATTCTTTCATAGATTCTTTTGCTTAACACTACAGTTGTTAACCTTAAGTATTTCTTTGTTTGCCTTTTATTTTATTTTTTTAATTCTCACCCAAGGATATGTTTTCCATTGCTTTTCAGAGAGAGAGGAAGGAAGAGAGAGAGAGAGAAACATTGATGTGAGAGAGACACATGGATTGGCTGCCTCCCTCACATGCCCCAACAGAGCTAGGGATCGAGCCTACAACCCAGGTACATGCCCTTGGCTGGACTTCAACCCGGAAACCATCAATCCGCGGGCTGGTGCTGTAACCATTGAGCCAAACTGGCTAGGGCCTGAGGATATGTTTTTAATTGATTCTAGAGAGAGAAGAAGGGAGAGGGAGAGAGAGAAACATCGATCAGTTGCCTCCTGTACGCGCCTCAATAAGGGCTGGAACCCGCAACCTGGGTATGTGCCCTGACCAGGAATGGAACCCATGACCCTGCAGTGCATGGAACAGTGCTCTAACCAGCTGAGCCACACTGGTCAGAGCGTCAGTGCTGATCTTACTTCACCCATTGGTAGTGTTGTCACAGTTTTAATATTTCCTTATGGACTTCCAGGACACTATGAACTCTTGGTGTTCCTCCACTGGTTTTAACCTTAGAATGCATTAAGATTTGGTTCTTGGGAGCAATTTCCTTTATACACTCTTGAATGATTTTATGCAACCTCTCTATTTTTTTCTCCGATTTCTATATTTGTATACTGATGACTTCAAAACGATAGCTCAGACCTTGACTTCTCTCCTTGAACTTCAGACCTCCCTATCCAGCTGCCTACTCAGCATTTCCATTAGGATGTCTAGGAGACATCTCCAGTTCAACATACTCCAAATGGCATCTTCATCTCGCTCAGCGTACTCTCTCTGCAGGCTTTCCCATCTCCATCCTTCAGATTGCCTAGGCCTAAACTTTGGAGTCATTTTATTTTCTTTTTCTGGGAGTCATTTTTTATTTCTCCCATTTCCTTATACCTCTGATGTAATGTGTCAGGAGATATTTTTGCTGTATCTTCAAGATAAATCCAGAACATAATTCCTTCTCATCACCTTCATGGCTGTTACCCAGGCCCGAGCTGCCATCATCTCTCACATGGATAATTGCAAGGGCCTCCTAACTGGTCTCCATGCTTTTATCCTTGCCTTCCACAATCCATTTTCAAAATTGCAATCAGAGCTTTTGTTTTTACAACATATGTCATTTTTCTGCTTCAAACTCTCCAGTGGCTTTTTAGTTTATACAGAGTAAGGATCAAAGTCCTTAGGATGACCTACAAGGTTCTACCTGATTTATCCCCTCCCCTTAACCTATCTCATAATCTCATTTCCTACTGTTTTTCTCACTCACTCAGTTCCAGCCACACTGGAGCCCTTGCTATTCCTTGACTGTATCTCTCTTTGTCTTTAACCCTTGCATTTTAATTATGATGTGTCTTGGTGTAGGCATTTTTGGGTTCATCTTGTTTGGGCATCTCTGTGCTTCTTGGACTTGTGTGTCTTTTTCCTTCAGCAGGTTAGGGAAATTTTCAGTCATTATATCTTCAAACAGTTTCTCAATCCTTTGTTCTCTCTCTGCCCCTTCTGGTACCTCTATGATGTGGATGTTGTTATGCTCCATGTTGTACCAAAGGTCCCTTAAACTATCCTCATTTTTTAAAAAATTCTTTTTTCTTTTTGCTGCTCTGATTGGGTGTTTTCTTCTACCTTGTCCTCCAAATCACCGATTTCATCCTCTGCTTCATCCAACCTACTGTTTATTCCTTCTAGTGTAGTCTTCATTTCAGATATTGTAATCTTTGTTTTTTAATTTATTATTATTTTAAAAAATATTTTTATTGATTTTAGAAAGGGAGAGGGAGAGCAATAGAGAAACATCAATTGGCTGCCCCCTGCATGCCTCTGACTGGGGATGAGCCTGCAACTGGGCATGTGCCCTGGCCAGGAATCAAACCAGCCACCTCTTGGTGCATGGGACGATGCTGAACCAACTGAGCCACACCGACCAGGGCTGTGTTCTTTATTTTTGACTGGTTCTTTTTTATGGTTTCTGTGTCCTTTTTTTTAAAATCATTTTTTATTTTCAATTACAGTTAACCTACATCATTATATTAGTTTCAGGTGTGCATCCCAGTACTAAATATTACATAACTTAATAAGTGATCGCCCCAATAAATTCTGCACCCATCCAACGCCATGCCTAGTTACTAGAATATTATTGACTATATTCCCTATGCTGTACTTTACATCCCCATGACTATTCTGTAACAACCAGTTTGTATTTCTTAATCCCTTCACCTTTTTTGCCCATCACCCCAACCCCCCTCCCATCTGGCAATCAACAAAAAGTTCTCTATGAGTCTGTTTCTGTTCTGTTTGTTCATTTTGTTTGTAGATTCAGTTGTTGATAGATATATATTTATTGCCCACGAAATCATTTGGTTTGGCCCTGCCAAGGCAACCACAGGCGGGACTTGAAATTCAATAAATCTAGGAGCTTTTTTCATAGCTACTTTTTAAGTTGATAATTTTGTATGGCC